TTAAAATCATTTTAAAATTATAAAACGAGGAAAAAAAGCACATGGAAAATATGAATTTTATTTTTAGGAATAGTAAAAATAGCAAAATGCTAAAATGTAACCAATGATAATACTGATAACCTTATCATAATCATATCAGTGATATATTACAAATGAATAATCAATGTTATTACTTCAGTAAAAAGTATTAATGTGTTTGTAAGATGACATTTTTTTTTCTTTTTTTTTTGTTCTTTTCAGCTATCCTCAATAATTTCAATAAATTTTCTTTTCTTTTCATATAAAATAAATTTTTTGGCAATGTCCCTCCAAAAATACAATCATTCTTATTACATAAATTTGTTTTTTTTTTTTTTTAGAATTTTCTCGAATTGAATTCAGTAATATTTACGAATTTTTCATTAAATTAATTGGAAATTTTAATTAAGTTTTGGTAATAAAAATTGAATTAAAATAATCGGTCTCTCGAATAATTTTATTTATGATTCTCATAAATGATTGTCTCGATTTGATCGTTGTATTTGTTTTTTTCTTCTCGTCCTTTTTTTTCCTCTAAAAATTTGATTTCTTAGTTTCTTTTTATTTTTGTTTTTCAATTTCTTGGTACATCCATCAACGTCATCTCTATATTATCGTCTTTTTTGTTTTTTTTTTTTTTGTTTGAAAATTAAATCAAAAAGATCATTCATTCTTGTCACATCCTTTTTTTTTTCCCCGTTGTCAACCATACTTTTTAAATGTTTACAATGGTAAAATTTATTTAAGCAATTTGTAGACTGTCATTTGACCTAAAATTTCATAATTATATTATTACTTCTTCCTGTAAACATATAATTATCTCTTTTTTTTTTGTTTCCCACTTAATCTTATTGAAATTACGCATAGATGAAAAAGTAATTAGTAAAATATATAACTATTTTATAATATAAAAAATAAAAAAGAAAAAAGTTCTCTATAATACCGATTAATTCATTAATGATATTATGATAACAATTATATTACCACTTAGAACCAGACGTAAATCAATGATATTATGATAACAGTTATACCATTGGTTGTAATTTAATATGAATATTATCATAACAATAATATTATCAACATTACTTTCACTTTTATGTAGGGCTGTTTTTATGTAGTTTTTTTTTTTTTATTTTATGATTTAATGGTCTCTTTATTTTCAATTTTATTGGCAAATAAAAAAAAAGCAATAGAATTTGAAAAATTTATTGGTGAAAAATTTAAAATCAAAAAAATTACTCACCTTTTTAAAGTATTTAAATTAGTTATAGTTAACTGTCATAATAAATTTAATCAAACAAGTACAAATGGTAAGTAAATAAATGACGTAATTAATGTAAACAAATTTCCACGTAAATTTTAACATCATATGTTAGCTTTCGTTATTATACAGTATTATTCATATTCATGTTTGTGTTTGCTTTTTTTTTTTTCTCAAATTTTTTATTCAAAAAAATTTAATTTCTCACAAATTATTTCCTTTTGCTATAAGCATGCAATAATAATATATTTATGAGGCGAAGGAAAAATTTTTTGCATAAGAAAATGAAATTTGTTTAAAATGAAAATGAATTCTTTATTGATTTGTAAATAGAATGATAGAAAATGTAATTATTGAAAAAAAAAAAAAAGCGAAAAAATGAAATGAAGGGGAAGAAGCAGTCTTGTAAATAAAACGAAAACATTTATGGAAAGGAAAAATTAAAATTGAATTGATAAAAATGATAATAGTGATAACAATGATAGAAAAAACATGTATACAATTGTTATGAAAAAAAAAAAAAAAAACAAAAAACAAAAAACAAAAAACAAAACTATCACTGAATTATAATAATTCATGTATTACTGCAAAAATGATAGGTAAAATAATTTGAAACACTGATTAGAGAGATGACGAATCTAGGATGAAACAAAATTTCTCATGTTTTATGATACAGTATGATGATATTGTAGGTGTATAATCAGGGTTAACGTGGTATACGTAAGGCCACGTGATATACGAATTTAGGATAGAAACAAAATTTCTCATGTTTTATGATACAGTATAATGATATTGTAGGTGTATAATCAGGGTCATGTAAGGTCACGCGATATAATAATATTTAGCAAAAAATAGGAAAGATTGAAATGAAACAAATTGGAAATTTGTAAAAAAATGATCAAAAAATAAAAATGAAAAAATAATAAAATACAATGAAAATTTGATCAAAACAAATAGGATACTATTATGATATATATAGTGATAATTTATCTTATCATAATATCTTATCTTAATCAGATATGAGTTTAACTTATCTTAGTGAACTGTATACAAAAAGAATTAAGGAATTAACTATAAAGCCAAGTAAATATGCACTATTCTTGGCTTCTATTAGACATTTATGTTACATTTCAATAATTCAATTCCAAATAATTCAATTCAACAAAAAATTTTTCATTTAATTTCTGAAATTTTATTAAATTATCAAAAATTTGGATAAAATAAATAAAGTGAAAAGAGAAAAAAAAATTTTTTTTTTTGGTTAATTAAATTAAATATAACGAAGAAAAATACGACTACGACATGAATGACGAAAGTTTTCAATAAAAAAAAAAAAAATGATTTTATTTTAAATGAATGAATCGATGTTAAGAGTGGTACAGAAAGGTAAACGAGAAGAAAGAATGAAATGATCCTTTTGAAGGTAAAAATGAAAATGTGTGGGCGTAAAAGTTGGGTAGGAAGAAGGAAGAGGAAAGAACGAGGAAGGAGGAACAAAAGTTGTCATCCTTTTTGAACGATTGAATTGAACTTTAAACAACGATACTGCCATACATCAACAT